ACACATTCCATACCGGAGGGTGGGCGTGGCCAAATACTTCATTTAAATGCGGCGGTAGTTGCGCTTTTGGTGGATTATTGCCGTCTTATGACAGTTGTAATCATTTCTCTGCCTAGTACAAGACAAGATGATAGTTGTCTCAAATGGAACATCCCATAAGAAAAGCCATTTGAACGATGTAGTCAGCCACCCTCTCTCTCTCTGTCTCCGGTATAAGAAGTGTAGCTGTGTGAACCCAAGTCTGACGAGGGCGTAGCGAAAAGTATACAAACGAAGCAGGTTGGGGAAATATTAATGCTCGTTTCACCACAAAAAAATCAAGGAGAGTACTCTTCACCATAACCAGGAACTCTTCGCCATTCTTCTCTCATGTGATGAGCGCGCGGGTGGAGCCCTCCAAGCGCGAACAGAATGGCTCTGGTGGGGCTATATAAGGGCTAAGTTACATCTGCGAGTAGTACATTCTTTCTGTCTCACATTTTACGGTTTGCTCCGTTTCCATAATTGTGCAGGAGTTTTAGGTGGAGCATACTTGTCGAGAAGGGTTGAAAGCTAGTGGTGATATATACCGAAAAGGCTGGTAAGTTTCTCACTTTTCCTCAGCGCTCTTGCAGCAACAGCTCCGTGTGTTGCGGTGTGATGAACAATTTTTTAGTGCACACAGTGTTTTGAGTATATAGAAGAGTACGCAATACTTGAGTATATAGAAGAGTACGCAATATTACGACTCTCTATAACTTCTCCGAAGACCCTCCGTGCGCTCACCTGCGAGACGGACCTTTCCCCATATGTGAAGTGAAGAAATCCGGAGCTGTCGAAACGTGCCACTTTGGCCGAAAAGCGCTGAAGGGTAGAGGTGCCGGTTGTTCTTTTCTAATCCGCACACACATCCACAGGCACGCAGTAGACCGCGCGACCAGCTACACGTCTTGCCAGGACAAGCAGACTAGTTGTCTGTGTCATCTCACGTTTGATTGGGGCGTCATTGCTCCTTTACAGCTCTTTCGCTACGTGCTCGAGCAGCGCGCCAACACACGGTCGCCGCAGGGTCTAACCATTAGTTGCCCAGCCATTGCAGCAAATGCAAGCGCTGCCCAGGTACGCATAAAAGCTGTAGACAACAATAGCGCCCTAGTCAAACGTGAGGGGGGGGGCAACAAGCTGTGCGTAGTAGTATGCTTTAGCCCAACGCGCTTCCCGGCGCCAGAAGTGGCGCGCCTCGACAGCTCGACCTGCTCGCCTTGCACATGGAAAAGATCCATCTCGCAGAATATGGATCCAGTATGTCTTAAGCCACCTCCTTATTATCTTTGAAATTGCAGTGATCTTCTTAAAGCTGAATTTTTGATGAAAGGTGCAAGAGTTGGGCAAAAGGATAAGCGAGTGGCTGGTAGTTTCGAGGTAATTCTTTCCTTTTGCGAACATCTTGGATTGGCTCTTCATAATGCTGTAGCGGGTATCAGTCACTCGGACGCAATTTGTCTGTGTAGCGTTAGCATGCAGTCTTGTTCGCTGCGGAGGATGGGGCGTGTCAGCGGGATTGCGTTTGACGCGCCGCCAGCCACCTTTTCCATCAGTTGTTGTCTTTACACTTCAACAACTGGTGGAGAACTGACAGACGGCGCGCCAAACGCAACCGCGCTGACATGCCTAATCGTCCGTTGCCAACTAGACTGTAGTTCGGACTTTTTTTGGAGTGAAATGTGAATCATTATTTTTATCTGAAATATGGGTATTCTTTCTTCAACATCATGTCACTGTAGGCTATGGATAGGCGATTCGTTCGAGTTTTTCGTTAGAAAGGATTCAGATACCCGAGCTGTAAACAAAATTCTAATGGTTTAGATATTGGACGAGTATCCGGATACGAGTGATTCTCTTGACGGGTCCCCGAGCAGAAAGTTCTATTCTGCGGTGTTCAAAGAGCATAAAGTCCTCTCCGAGCACGTTCCAGACAACATTCATGTCCATGCGTTCGCGAACAGGTGAAAACTTCCCTTTCCCTACCGCGGACTTCAACTATGGGCAATCTCATTTTTAAGGTTGAATGTTCTGCACGTTCTTATAATTGGACCTGTCGGAACTCCTTTTGACACCACTCCTTTCTTCTTTAAATTCAAATTACCTGCTGATTATCCACAAAAACCGCCTGAGGTACGTCTG